CAGCCGTTGCCGCACGGCCGCAAAACAGCGCACGCAGAAAGTTAGAAACAATGCACGCGTTGAACATTTGTCATTTGCGATGGCTGCTCATTTTATCATGTGACCGAAACGAATGTAACACCTTAAAATATTGGGTTGGTGACCCTACTTTGCGGCTTAGCTCGGATTCGACCCGCCCGTCTGCCGACAATCATATGCCCAAATATACGGCGGAGCTCTTGCTCGCGATCGGCGCCCCGGCATGGTTGTAGATGTCGTCGCCCGTCCTGACCTACATGTGTTCGAGTTGGCCCCAAGTGAAGCGCAGGCCGTAGCGCGACCATCAAAACTCGATGCACCTCATCGACTCCTGCACCACCGAAGAATGTATGTCGATCACATGGGCGTCAGCCAATAACGTCGTCATTACGATGGTGAACAGACACGGTGACAGGCCATCCCTGACCCAATCCATCGTGTCGAGGTCGCTCGTGCGAATTGGATCCACAACCCGCCACGATGAAAGCCCGACGCTCATAAATTGCTGACGCCACCTGGACAAAACGGCACGGGCACCCGAATCTTCGCAAAGAGGATGCCTTTGCAGCAGGCGACACCGGATCGAAAAACTCTCGACCAATCCAGCGACTAAAAATAAGCTTTGCCGTCTCGAATGCTCTCTGTGTCCTCAAGAACCCTGCGGGCTAGGGAAACTGCGTCCGTCGTGCCCCGATTGGATCGGAAGCCAAATTATCAGCCAAAGTCTGTCTTCGGCCCCCGCGTGCTTCAGCCGCCTAAACAGAAATTGGAAACATCTGGTATCCAACGGGTAATAAACTGATTGGCCTATAGTTATCACGCTCTGCACGGTCAGCCTTTGTTTCTAAACCATACATATTCGCGACCTGTGCCAGTCCTCCAGCCGGTGTTTCAGAAACGCGTAACCAACGTAAGCGCTGCCTCCAAAACTCTGGCGGCAAGTCATCGGGCCCTCCAGCTTTTCCTGGCTTGGCGGCGCGGGCTGCGCGATGTACCTCGTCTTCTACGATGGCGCCAACATTGATGTTCAATTCGGTAGAAGGCGTCCGTCGGCATAGCGCTCGTCGGCCGCACTGCCCAGGGCACCCGCTCTAGGTGCTCAGCAAGAGCGTCGGCCCCGCCCTCGCTGTCCACCGTTCCCCCATGGAGGTTCTGAGCCTCCCATGCTGGCGGCAAGGCCCTTTTCGGAGTTTCCGTATTTGGCCCCAATCTCCGTCGGCTGTCAGCTCATCCAGCCAGGCCGCCCTATCATGTGCCACTGCTGGCTTCATCTGTGTCGCAATGATTCGTTGTTATTATGTTGTTCCTTGTCCCCTTGCCGTAAAGCGCGGCTCGATGAGCTGGAGCGTGCGAGGTCGGATCCAAGGTTTCTGTGGCCTCTGAGGCTGTACCGGCAAGCAAAGCTACGCCGGACGCATTCCGGAACCCATCAACTAATTGACCCCGTGCCAGATTCACATCGTTACTGCTGGGCGCCACCTCCTGAAAACTGTCCAAACAGCCAACGAGCACGTTAACGAACCGTTGTTGCGAAGCGTCGTCTCGATGTGAATTCACATCAGGCCGACGCTTGGCCTCGTCGATCAAAAACTTGCCCAGAGTCATGCGGACGCCTGCCTTTGCCAAGAAGTGGCGCGTAGACAAAAGGGACGGCAGACAACACAGACACACTGGTAATATGATGGGCCTATGAGTACTCGCAGACCACCTCATCTATCTCGGAGTGCGTTCGCCAGTCCACGCGACTCCCTGCCGGGCACCCACGTTGCAACTCGTGGCCAGCTGCTCTTGCGACGATTGGAAAAAATGCATCCGCGAGGCACATCGACAATTGCAAACGCATCTCAACGAGCAAATACCTGTTGGCATCTTCCTTACAGGTTTGGCCTGAGTGCCTAAAGAAGTAAGGGCCCACAGTGAAGCCTTCATCGTCGAACGTGTCGTAAAGCTTCGCGTTGAAATAGCCGTGAATCAACTTGAAACGCGAGATGAACGGGAAGTGACGAACTCTCCCAAGTCATGGCAGAAGCCCTGTCACTTTGGATAGTCGTACCCAGAATGAGGAGCATGAATAGAGAGCACCACCGCCTTCCCACCTGGCACACGCAATTTCAAAGACGCCATCTGGTCAGAAACCTGACAGAATCCGACGATAGACTGCCTGAGGCTGGGGTCGACGATGAAACCGACTCCTGCCCTGTCCTCCTCCGTGCCCCCATTGCCGCCTGACATGATCACAAGAAAGCCTGAGTCCGTGATACAAGTGTCTGGCGTAAATATCCACGTTTCTTGAGTACACCGTACAACAAAAATGCCTGTTTTCTTCACAGCAGTTTCGAGCTCAACCTGCTTCGATTCCGTGAATCCTTCGGTGTTCCATGAAGCGTTAACGAATTCTTCTCTGGTGGGTCGTAAACGACGCCCCGTCAGCACGAAGCGGTAGTGCGGCTTTGTCGACACATCGGCTCTCGCTTGATGAGATGTGAGGGCCTCGTGTAGGATCGTCGCGCTTCCGCGTCGGTTCCCTGCGGCACTCCTGTGAAACTTCTCTGCTCTCGCGCCGCTGGCCCCATCATTGTCCATCCTTCCCACCTTTACCCTTCCTCTTCCCATTGGGCCCTCCCTTGCTTGTTCCCTTGGACGGAGCACTATAGAGCTTACGTTTTATCTGAACGATGAGGTTGGGGAGGTCGGGGTACTCCGCGTCTGAGAATCATGTTTCCCAACCGGTCCCGTAAATCACCTCAAGACTGCCATTGGGCCACCCGCCACAGCCAGTCAGAAGGTTACTGCCGGCGTAACTCCCCGAGCCCGTGACGGTCACGCGGGCGCTGGCCCTTGGCAACCACTTGCGCTACTGATCCCCCTCGTGAGACATTATACTCCGTGCCTACCATCATGCGCGCCGCACTAACAGGAAGTAAGACGCCAAGTAGTAGCCAGTTGGGAAGCACGCCACGGATAATGACATCTGGAGTAGAAAGTGCTGGATTCACTCAACCACTGAGCAGATTTGATTCAGGCCAGAGCCCGACTGCGCGAGTGCTGGAACTAGCCTCGGAACTACAATCCTGAGCGGAATGGCTGCGGACGGAGGCAGCAACCTGGCACCGTATTGCAACTTTCCCCCCCCCGTCGCCGCTTCCTCCCCCCCTTCGATCCCCCTGCGCCATCTGCCGTGGCCACCAGGCCTGGACCCTCCCCTTGTGTCCTCATGCGTCTCGCACCTGCGTTTTCTTCCAACACTTGCGGCGGCCCCCTGAAGGAGCCTCTCAGACACTGCACGCCGTCAGAGCTGCCAGATTGAGAGGTCTTCCACCGCACAAGCGAAGCAACGAAGCGCTGAAGCCGGCCCGTGCCCATCCTGACTGCGCCTGTGACTCCTCCCCCCCCTGCTTCATTTTCCCTGGATCGCAGCTCTGCAACGGGCGGTAGCCTACAGGCAGAACTACAGACCGAGGACGACTTCGGCGCGTCAGCCCCAACGGCCTGAACTGGGGCACCGAGCTACTACTAGAAGAAAAAACACAGTAAACACAAACTTTTGACACTCCGCGCAGATTTCTTGGATCTGCGCTAGACCCCCCTCTCTGGCGCGCGGGGCGCGCCAGGGGCGGCGCCGGAGGCGCCGCAGGGGGGGGGCCCAAGCGCGGATCCAGGAAATCCGCGCGGAGCGTTAATAGTTTATGTCTGCAGTGGAGGCCAGTCCACAAGAAACCCTCCACAAGAAACACAACCCTCAGACCCCAAGACTTCCATTGACTTTTGGTGTGGCAAAAACAAAACCATCGAAACCCAAGAAAACCCGGGGAACTCTGGAGGCAAGCAGGGTGTTTCTTGACATGGGCCCCCACCGTACCCAGACCCCCGACGTCATGATCTTGTTCCCAACGTCGACCCCAAGAAGTCTCGACCCATTCCCTGGGACCGGGTTCTCATCCTGAGTCATTTTCTGATGGTCCCGAGTCCCGCGGCCCGGCGAGGGCCCACAGATGCCGGAAATGGCAACACAAAACCTCCCGTCATGAATTTGTCATTACTCGAGGGGGTCTGGGTATGGCGCTTTCTTCTTCAAACTACGCGGGAAGCGTCCACTGCCCGCCTCACCGGTCCTGCTCGGGCCGAGCCTGGGCCCAGTCGGTGCACAACGCCTCCCTGGCCAAGCAGAGGGCGTGGGCGCCGGTCTGGGGCCCGCTCTGTCCGAGGAGGTGGTCGCAGCTGACGTCTCCCGGGCCTGTCGCGCCGATGGCCAGCGCCACGAATATGCGTGAGACAGGGCCCAGACCTGCGACGTCCTGTTCTTTTCAATACAGTGGGCCCGTATCATAAGGATGCGCGGTAAGGATGCCAAGGCCTTGGGAGGCCATGTCGAAGCTCCTCGAGCGGGGCGCGGCCAACGAAGGTGCCCAAGGATGGGACGAAGGGGCAAGGGTGCAAGCGTACCCTCGGGAAGAATGCCCATCCCTACTATGTGGCTTGACTGTACGGGCTCCCCGACAACGACGAAACGCCTCCCGCCCCGACTCGTTTCACGACGCGGGCACGTCTGGCGCGGGGACAGCAAGCGACCACAGCCACAACCGGAGTGCCCGCGCCGAGGTCAGGGGGTTCTCCCGCGAGGGGCCCTCCCGGAGAGTCCACTCGGCTGTGGCCGTGGCGCTCTGCTGTGCCCGGATCTGGGGAGACCAGGCCGCTCGCTCCAGCAGACGCTGTGCGAGGGGAAGCTCAGGCGCCAACGGGGCGGACAGAAGCCTGCGCGGCGCCGCACGCCGCGCGGGGACTCCGGCGCCGCCAGCCGTGGCAACCGGCGCCCTCACAGCCTGTACAGCCTGCCGAGCTCCTGAGGAAGCCACAAGATACCTGGTCGCCGATGCCGCCCCAGACATGCTGGCGTCGTGAAACAAATCAGGACGGGAGGTTTCTGGTGGTGTTCGGCCTCCAGGGGTTCAGAAAACGACTCAGGATGAAAAGCCAGGGCCCAGGAACGAGTCGGGACTTCCAGGGACCGCGTAGGAAAATACCGGCTCGCCCATGCCACTGCACCACTCGGACCTCTCCCGGGGTGCGCTCTGACCAGGATCTTGGGGCGAATCCCCAGCGGTGACGAGGGCCTCCCGGGAGGCCCCGAAGGGCGAAGACGAGGGAGGGGCTCCATAGCGGCATCTGTCACCTTCTCCCCCTCGGCGCACCTTCCGCGGCTCCGCCTCGTGGTGCACCGGCCCGTGGTCCACCAGCGCGAGGGCCCTCGTCAGCACCGTGGGCGACACCGGCGGCGAGGAAGGCGGCGTGGGCGCCAAGGGGGCCAGCGGCGCCAGCTCCGGCACCTGCTGTCCCAGACCCCCCGACGTTCTGTGATTTTCGCAGAACGTTTAAGTCGGGCCTGTCCCCCTACAGGGGGATTTTCGACGAAGAATAAAGAATAGCCTAAATCTTATCAACAGATAATCCAAAAATAGTCTGGGGACTATTTTTTGCATATGTTTTGCCTTTTGGGGGTATTTTGAAGTATTTTCCATTTGTCGTTCAAAATCCCCCTGTAGAGGGACACGCCCGACATAACACCACGTCGACCCCCAGAGGTCTGGACCCCTTCCCCGGGACCAGCTTTTCATCCCGAGTCGTTCTCTGGCGGCCCCGAGGCCCAGCAGGGGCCCCCGGAGGCCGAAAACAGCGAGAGGCCTCCCGTCGTGATTCGTTGTGTCACACCAAGGCCACGCTAACGGCGATGCCTGGTTCACGGCGATGCCTGGGACATGGTTTTTGCGACGCCGAACTCGCGCAGAATCAATTGTAGATTTCAAATGCACGGATGTACCGAGCGCAAACGGCACAGCGAATTGGAGGAAAATGAGAACCACGCTTTCCTACAGTTGGCTGGGCCACGAACCACCCCCACCTGGAATGCCGAAACCTGCATCGCCGTTACGAATCGCTACCTACATCCCCAGAGATCCGACGTCATGAGGTTTTCAATGCGCGGTCCCCGGAGGCCTCGACCCCTTTCCCTGGACCGGATTTTCATTCCGAGCCGTTCTTGTTCACGGTCCCGAGGCCCGGCGAGGGCCCCCAGGGGCCGAAATTTGCGGAAAACGTGCGTCTTGATTTTTCCGCTACGTTGGATCTTTGCTTGACCAAAACGGGGGTCCAGCTGAAAGGGGGTGGTGCAATAGGTTTGGGGCAATTGTTTTGCAAATGTACTGCGCCAGAGAACTGTACCACACTGTGTTGCGACGAATGCAGTGCACGCGAAAATCCAGCAACGCATTGACGCCCGGGAATGTGTTGCACGCCACAGATAGCTTCCTACCCAACACATCTATGGCACCAGATCCATTGCACCACACCCTCGTCGCTGGACCCCCCTTCTGGGGTCGGCCGGAGTCTTGATTTTGTCCGCATGCGCTGGATCGCTGGGTGCATCGCCGTTGGCGCGTCCGCGGTCACAGCTGCGAGGGGCGAGGGGGTCTCTCTGGGGCCGGCGACCCGCCCGGGCCGCCTCCGGGAGCGGCAGCGGCGGCAGGGCGGCCGGGGCGGCCTCCTGGGGCCCCCGGGAAGGGGGGGGCCGCGATCGAGCGCCGAGCACGGCCTCGCGCGCGCCCCCGCCGATCGCGGCCGGGGGCACCGAGGCGCCGCCCCGCGGGGATAGGCGCGATGCCAGGGGGGCGCTCGGAGGGCCCTGCCCACACCCAGAGCTCCTCGCGTTGTGGGGAAGTCACGACGTCGAGGCTTTTCCACATTTCTGGCCTCTGGGGGCCCTCGCCGGGCCTCGGGACCGTCAAGGAATGACTCGGTACGAGAAAGGGGTCCCAGGGAAAGGGTCCAGACGTCTGGGGGTCGACTTTGCGAAACTAATCACGACGTCGGGGGCCTGGGCTCACAGGGCCTTCGAACCTGCCCATTCGTAGGAAATTTGGGGCCGTGGGTGGGACGAGAAAAATAACTATACTAGCGGGGCATTCCATCAGCAGCGGTGAGGGGGAGCCTTCCCTCAGGGCTGCGTTCTGCGCGGGGCGGCCGCGCAGAGCCGCCCAGTGTGCCCTGGGTCGAGGCCGGGAGTCTGCGCCACGAGGCTGTCGACACGGACATACGCTTCCCGCCCACGGGAAGGGGGGAGTCCTTGCCCGAGGCCGGCGAGCCGTTGCCGCTGCCGCACCAACGTGCCACCAGGCGCAGCACCGGACGAGCCTGCGCCGGCGTGCCGGGGCACCCCTGCGAGGACTCGTGCAGAGGTTGAGTGGCAGACTCGGGGGCTGCCGCGGCAAACTGCACGCCTCCGGCGTGAGCTGCCAGCGCGCTGCTGTCCCCGTGGGCCGCCCCGACGCCACGGCTCCGCCCGCCCAGCGGGGCGGGGCCTGGGTCGGCCAGCCCGGCCCCGCGAGTGCCGACCGACAGCGTGCCCAGGTGGGGCATGCCCGCGACGGCCGCCGCCGCGGCCCCGCCGCGCGCCCAGGCGGACGGCTCGCCGGCGGCCAGGGCGATGGGCTCGCTGTCGCCGGCGGCCCACGCGGGCGCAGCGGCGGAGCCCTGCGACGCCCGGGCGCGCTCGCCCTCCTCCTGCTGGGCACCGCCGCCCTCCCCGCGCGCGCCCGCCGAGCCTCCCCCGGCCGCGCGGCCCGCGAAGGCCAGGCCTGGCGCGCCCCCGCGGGGCGGGGCGTCTTCGTCGGAGCAGAGGCCGCTGGGGCTGCCCAGGTTGCCCGCGCCGCTCGAGCTCCGGCGCCGCTCGAGCGGGGGCGTGCGGGGCGAGGCGGCGCCGTCCTCCGCGGCCCTGCAGGTGGCTGGCGGGGCGAGGCCGCCGTCGCACGCCGCGTCGCCGCCGAAGCCTCCGGGCTGGTGGCGCTCCGGCGGCGGGGCGTCGGGTGCCGAGGAGGAGGAGGAGGAGGAGGAGGAGGAGGAGGAGGAGGAGGAGGAGGAGGAGGAGGAGGAGGACGAGGAGGAGGAGGAGGAGGAGGAGGAGGAGGAGGAGGAGGAGGAGGAGGAGGAGGAGGAGGAGGAGGAGGAGGAGGAGGCGGAGGAAGGGAGGAGGAGGAGAAGGAGGAGGAGGGCGGAGGAGGAGGAGGAGGAGGAGGAGGAGGAGGAGGAGGGCGGACGAGGAGGAGGAGGAGGAGGAGGAGGAGGAGGAGGAGGAGGAGGAGGAGGAGGAGGAGGAGGGCGGAGGAGGAGGAGGAGAGCGGACGAGGAGGAGGAGGAGGAGCAAGAAGAAGAGGAGGAGGAGGAGGAGGAGGAGGAGGAAGAGTAGGAGGAGATGGTGGCAGGAGGAGGAGGAGGAGGAGGGCGGAGCAGGAGGAGGAGGAAGAAGAGGAGGAGAAGGAGGAGGAGAAGGAGGAGGAGATGGTGGCAGGAGGAGGGCGGAGGGACCCCGCCGCAGCCGCCGAGCGCCGCCCGGCAGCGCTCGTCGTAGTCCTGCAGCCAGGCCTCCTTTTGCGCCTCGACCTCGCGGACGGCGCTCGCCCGGGCCCCCGACTGGCGCAGCCTGTGCCACGCGCTGAACTGGAAGTAGGCGAGGAAGGCGACGCCGTACACCGCGAGCGTGGCCACCGACCACACGTTGAAGAGTCCCCCGTCGGCCCCGTACCACTTCAGCGAGTCGATGTCGTCGGACACGTTGAAGCTGCCGAAGAGGCGCTCGTTCATCCAGCACAGCACGTGGCACACCAGCACATGAACGACAGCGCCGAGGGCGAACGTCCAGCGGGTTAGCCGCGGCACGTCCGCCCAGACTATGGCGCTCCTGCGGGCCACCTCTGCATCCCGAAAGTCCAGCCACTCGAGCTCTGCGTTCTGAGGCAGAGGCCGCTCAAGCTCGAAGTGGTCCTTCTCCAGGCGCCCCTGGATGGCCCACAGCGCGAGCATCCACAGCATCAGGCTGACCAAGAGCGAGAAGAGCGTCATCAGGTTGGCCGCCCTGCTCCAGATCGGGCTCGAGCCCTTCTTCAGGTAGAAGGAGCCAGTGAGGGCGCACGGGATGACGAAGAAGATGATGGGCACCGTGCCCAGCTCGCACTGCCACAGCGACAGCCGCAGCACGCCCGCCAGCACTGAGGTGGGCCAATCTGGCCCGCCGCAGAGAATGGCGACTTTGCCGACCGTCCAGCCGGGCTGCCTCAGCTCGGCCTCGATGCACCGGATCATGGGCTTGTGCACGCCCACGGCCCTGCGTATCGACAGGCTCTTCCCGAGCAGCTCGCCGATGCACTTCTGCTGCACGGCGCAGGCCACCAGCTTCAGCGACCAGCTCACCGCGACGTTCACGAGGGCCCCGACCCAGAACCGCGCGTCGGGGTCCGCGCCCCAGGGGCACGTGTTGGACAGCACGAGGCCTCCGAAGATGTACACCGTCAGGCCGGGCACGCACGGCAGGAGGAAGGCGCCGATGCCCGTGAAGAACACGGCGAGGATGATGATCTCGAAGGGCCAGGCGGAGAGCACCTTGGTGAGCCAGGCGAGCAGCACGTTGAGCAGCACGGGGCACACGGCGTAGCACAGGTACACGCCTAGAAGAAGACAAAACTCTTGGCGTCCCGCGCGGATTCGTGGATCCGCGCCGGACCCCCCTCCCTGGCGCGCGGAGCGCGCCAGGGGCGGCGCCGGAGGCGCTGCCTGAGGCGGGGGGGGGGGGCACGGGCGCGGATCCAAGAGAGCAGCGCGGAGCGCCAAACAAGTTTTTATGCTTATGGCTGCTTGTGTTTCTCCCCCGAGCGCCGCAGAACACGTACACGAGCGGGAAGATCTTCAGCCACGGCCAGTTCTCCCAGACGTGGGCCAGCGCGAAGTACACCCGCGGCGTCAGCGGCAGGGCGGCCAGGCTGGACATGCAGCTGGACCACTCCTCCGGAAGGGCCGCCCGGGCGGGGCTCGAGCACGGCAGGCTCGCGTCACGACGACCCCTGAGTTGGCTTCTGACACCACGTGGATCGTTCAACCTTGAATTATGTCGGGCGTGTCCCCCTACAAGGGGATTTTCGACTAAAAATATAAAAACAAAATACTCCAAAAAGGTCAAAAAATACTCCAAAAATAATCCCCATACTATTTTTGGACTATTTCTGCATATTTTTGGGGTATCTTTTATTTTTCGCCGAAAATCCCCCTGTAATGGGACACGCCCGACTTCAACCTTGAATGATCGGCGGCATTTCGATCGCCAGATCGTTCCATATATAGGCCGATCCTGGGCCATCTGCGGCACTCAACCTCGCAAGCCCGCGGCGGGGCCGCCGCCCGTCGACGCGACGCGAGCCTGCCGCGGACGGGGTCGGAGGAGCGCGCTCCATCAGCGATGCAACCTCGGGATGAAAAAAAAAAAACGGGCGCCACGTGGAGTTATGTCGGGCGTGTCCCCTACAGGGGGGGTTTTCGACGAAAAACCAAAAAATATCCCCCAGAATACCCCCATGCTCAAAAAATGATTCCCGGACTAGTTTTGGATTATTGCTCGACTATGTTGGGGGGTATTGTTTTATTTTTCGTCGCAAATCCCCCTGTAGGGGGACAGGCCCGACTCAAACGTGGAGCCCCGCCGCCGATGCGTCGGCGCTGTGCGGCGCGCTCCACCGACGCCTCGGCCCCGCGCGGGCGGCCCGGAGGGCCTTGCGCGCCGGCACGGGCTCGTCGGAGGCGTCCGGCTCCACGGGGATGCGCTTGTAGAGCCGCCGCGCCCGCCGGACCCGCTGGTTCAGCCACGACGCCGCCACGACCAGGGGGACCAGGGGCAGGAACGCGAGGATAGGGGAACAAAAAGTGGCATAAGCTTAAAAACTCGGAGGTCCGCACGGATTTCTCGGATCGGCGCTGGGGCCCCCCGGCGGCGCCTCCGGCGCCGCCCCTGGCACGCTCCGCGCGCCAGGGAGGGGGGTCCAGCGCCGATCCGAGAAATCCGCGCGGACCTCCGAGTTGTCATGTGTATGTCACTCTTTCTCTCCCCCAGAAGAGCAGCGCCCGCGCCCAGCTCGCGGCCGCCACGCCGCGCACCATCTTGCCCACGGGGTGCTCGGCCATGCGCCTGCCCATGTCCGCCATGATGCGCTTGAAGGACTTGTACATGAACACGATGGTCGGAGGGGGGTCCGTCCAGACGGCGGCGGCCAACCCAGGCGCTTTCCTTCTCGTGTGGCCTCCCGGAGGCCCCTCGTCGCCACGGCGGGATGCAGTCCAAACGTACATCAAGGACGGGTGGCAAGGACGCAAGACCCTTGGAGGCCGAAGTTGGGATTGTTTGGGCGGCGGGCGACCAATGAAAACGGCAAAGGACGGGCCGCAGAGGCAAGAACACGAGGGCCCCCCAGATGAAGGCGCGCGTCCTTACTAGGCGCGTTGTCTGTACGCATCGAAGGACGAGCCAGGATAGACCCCAGAAGAACTCGGAGGACCGACCTTGAGCGGATCCGCCGCTGTCTGAACTGGCCCTTCTCCGAGATGAAGGTGACAAATAAGACCACGACCAGCGCCACGAACGTGGCGGCCATCTTCATGTCGGTGTACAGGAGCTGCCCGGCGATGTAGAAGATGCCGAAGACAAAAAAAAATACGCAACAGGTCGCCTTCACCATCTTCGACATCTGTTCCACGGCCACCGTGTACTGCTCGGACGCCTGGCGCTCCCTTTCCTCCTCACTAATCTTCCTTCGTCTGCGACCACGCATCGTTTTCATGACCATGCTTTTGGCCTTCTTCGACATCTCGGGACTCTTCCACTCGTTCATCGCGCAGGCGATGAGCTGGTTCCTGTGCCTATCGGTGACCAGGTATGTGTCGTGCATAAGGAGGCGGAGGCCCATGAAGAATCCAAAGACCATGTTGGAGCAGCCGACGATCACTGGCGCAGCCCAGAGAAAGTATTCCAGCTCCATTTCTCCCTCGTCCAGCCCCTCCTGCGTGACGTAGTGCGTGACCTGGTGCGTGGATACCACCCAGTACAGCCACCAGGCGAAGCTCATTATGAAACTCAGCACAAAGCCCGCCCTGCCCCCGCGAAAGAAGTTGATGAGGTCGTCCTCTCTCTCCGAGATGGCCGCGAGCAGCGCCATCTGTGCGGCCAGATTCCCAGACAGCACCACGGCGTCCTTCGTGTGCTCGGAGATCCGGGCAGGCCGCGTGGCCTCCCGGATCGCGGCCACGCTCATGGGCGAGAGGGCCACCGTGAGGAGCAGGGGGAGGCTGGGGAGGTCCTTGGCCATGAGGAAGCCAGACGCGATGAAGCAGACGACCGCGAGGGCGAAGAGGGAGGGCCCCACGCAGGTGTCGCCCTCCCAGAGCTTGCGCGTGGAGCCCGGGAGGTGGGGCGGGCTGAAGAAGTCGAGCAGCAGGAGCGCGGCGAGGATCAGGCTGCCGGCGCCCAGCGTGTACACCCTCAGGAAGTCGTGGTCCTCAAGCCACTGGACGACCTCGTGCCCCACGCCCACGACCCGGCCGCCCACGCCGATGCTGGACCACAGCAGCACCGTCGCCATGGAGGTGCACACGGTGACCACGCAGCAGCTGCAGAC